CAGAGCAAAGGATTAAAGACAAAATGCTACTTTCTTCTTCATATTTAAGTTATCTAAGACAACTCAGCCAATGTTTCATGAGCTAACAAAGGCATGACCCAACCTGACCACATTCTGCTTCACAGTCCCCTTATATATTTTTGAGTCGTGAAAATAAAAATTCAATTATCAGTAATTTTCCTTACTTGAAGAACGTTTTTTCAAAATTCATATGTCATACAGTTTCAATACAATAAAAATCAAATGCAGCAATGAATAAATGACTCATTTAATTCCAAAAAATGAGACACTGGTTACTCTTTAATACAGAATGTGTAAGAATATGAAAGAAACTTCGAAGACTATAAAACAAGACTGATTATATGAAAAAAATTCAGAAATTGGAAAGTTTTGCATATACCAAGTTTTCAGCCTAGTTCATCCGCTCCTCTAAACTCTCCGGAGAATATTAATCTCACAAGGTTAATTTTTTTCAAGAGCATCTACACAAAAATTGGTCTTTTTAGCTCTAATTGCAAATTTCAATTGTCAAAATAGGTTGAATAAATGGAGATATTTTGAAATAACACTCTCTAAGAGACATACAAAGCGTACATACAAAATATGTATGCCTCATAGAACATTATAAATAATTAGATTTATCTATTAGGATAATTAAAATGGAAGGCCATACAGTATATTTCAAAGACCTAACTAAAGTTTGTGAATTCCTATGCACATCGAGGATAAAAACCTGAATATTTCATACTTTCCAAAATGAATTCATATGAAAATATCCTGAGTGACAAGAAACCCACAAATATGTCAAAAGATGTGAATATTTTTTCAACACAGTGAAAATGAAGAGAAGCATCCCTGAGTAACTTTTATCACATAATACAGTGCAAAATACACAGTGCTTGTGGTTCCAAGGTAGCACCTTGCCATTGAAGCAGCTCGATAAAGTTGAATGGTTAAATTGACAAATTCACTGAGAGGCGATTAATAAATTAACATTACATTTCTGGCTAAGTCTGGTATTTCTTACATTGGAAATGGAAGGCCACCTACAGAAATGGGTAGAGACCAGACAGACAAAACTTACTGATATTTGCATATTTGAAGAAGATAAGTAAAATAATGTCAAATATAAATTACTCTGTAAACCTGATATAACTTCTTCATACCTGAAGTCAAGTGGTAATGCCAATAGCCTCCAGCCCATCATAGGACATGATGCATTCCCTTAATCATTACACTGACGCCTGTGGAGTCCTTAATGTAGACTATACCTCAGGAAATCTACATTACAAGGTGGATGCACTGTGCCACTTTGAAGTTTCTATTCATTCTTTTCCAATTCCATAGTCAATGAAATAGACATAGCAGTATTAGAGGAGATAGTAAAATGCTTACCAAGTAAAAAAATTCCTACTCAATTCCCAGATTCCAAAAGCAAACCCCAAATTCTATATTAGAAGTGTGAGGCTATATGGAATCATATATTACATGTTATATACTTATATATCTGATAGGAAGTATTTTTAGTATAAAAACTCAAGAATTCATGAATTTAAATTTCTCTAAAAGTCAGAGAGATCTTCTGGATTAATAACAAATTGTAACTAAATGACTTTATCCAAAAAGCCATTGCTTATGCAATGATGGATTAGGAAAATCAACAGGAAAAGAATGAGAATCTGTGAATTATAAATGTTATTTATTGTCATGTTACTCTGTCATGTATCCAAAAACATCCTGAGGCACTTGTAAAATATGATTATTAATTCTTCCATGAAACTGGAGTTACATCACAGATAGTATACAATTTGCTACAAAAAAAGAGGTCGAGTAGTTTGACCTAACTCTTTGCTTCGTACAATACCACAGTATATAGATTTGTATATTTTAGTTAAAAATGGTAAGTTAAAAATGTATATAAAAGTCACTGGATAACAGGTTCAAGATTAAGACGAGGCTTAGGCTATATGTATATATTTTTTAAATCTTGTGCTTGAGTGACATAAGATGACCTGGAGAATCACCTGTGCAGTTTAATGGTCTGCGCTACATGAGTGGTACAATGACTTTCTTGATTTAGGACTAAAGATATTAATCAGTGTCATTAAAATCTGAGGTTCACTGGTTTTTCTACAAGGAAGTTTTCATTCATGACTAAAGACCACATTAAAAATGGTAGCTTAACTTAAATTAATCTTACAAGTTGTTTTAAAGAGTACTGCATTAAATCATTTTTTAAATCTACAAACTTCTAAAATGCTCATTAATTATATCAAAATTGATAATAGTTCTATTTACTGGGGGGGATCAAAATAACTTTTCCCTGAATGGTTTTAAATTGCACTTCCCTGATGATATAAATAAAAAAACCACTTAGAATAGTGTTAAAATCCTATATAGTTGATATGTAATTGAAAATTAAAAAGCGTTGATAATATTCTTCATGGTAAAACTCAAATCTGTCAAAATTAAATGTGAAATGTGCTGGAAAGCTTATAATTATTATTCCATGAGTCTAGGCTTAAAAACATTGTACATATTACATAAATACAGTTTTACCTGTTAATTTCAGCCTTCAATGATTTAAAGTTTAAATTTTTTTGAAAAAGCTGAAAGCATGAACTTATCTGAAAATATTCACAATATATTTTGTATATATCTTTGGAAATTATACTGTGCTTCTGATTAAAGTTGATAATTTTTAGAAGTTTTAGGATCAGTTCTCTATTTTTAGCTGATAGTAAGTTTTGGCTTAAAGTAAGTCCTTGCAGGTTCTTATGTACTATAAAGAATACATTTTTAAGTTGCAATTGACAGCCCTATTTGAGTTACAGTCATTCCTTTTCAATATTGTACAGTTAGAACTTTTGCTACTAAACTTAAGAGCCAAGCCAAAAAGAAAAAATCTTCAAGTAAAAACAAATCATTAAAAAATTCTAGAAAACACCCATGTAACACATACTATCTTTTCAAGAAAAAGTTTAAGCAAAGTTGCGCACTAATTGTACCGTAATATTCTAATCTACATCTTTTTAGCCAGTACAAATCTCATACACAACAAAGAGGAACTTGGATAGTTTACAAACAACTTGGAAGGACTGCCATGCATGTCCCCGGATGTATCTTTCAATATAATCAAGAGGAATAGGATAGGAATTATTTCAAAGTCCATTTCCTTTGTGCTTTTCACTTTTGTCTGTATTTTGATTCTCTCATTCATTTAGGTGGCTGGTTTTTTTTTAAGCCATTTTAATCACACTATTACATCGTCAAAACTAGACTTAACCTACCTTTGTCAATATGAATGATACAGAAGTAATCAACTTCAAACACACAACAAACAAGTCAGCATAAGCAACTTGAAACACTGCCAGAAACTAAAGTTTCACTTAAGAATCAAAGTTAAAAAGCATTTTACAAGTTAAGTTGGACAAATATTTATTTTTCTATGAACTCTATGTTTATCACAGACACCAACATTACAGTAACTAGAGAAACAAGCTTGCTTTTTCCCTCTCAGTGAAACGTGATGCAAAAAGTAATCTAGCCTTACTCTCTTCTCAAAGGAAGTTTGTTTTCTCCTTACAATTTTACGTTCCTAGCTGAGTGAGTTCTCTAAGAAGGGCCAGAACGATTTCAATAACAGCTCTAGCCATTGCCTCCAACACCTCTCTTCTAGATGACCTCCACTAAAATCTACAGGGAATTTTTTTTTCCTTCTAGTGTTCAACAACTATCAACCAACCACATCCAGAACAACAATAAATATATCAAACCAGCTTTTTTTCTTAAGTGAACTAAAAGAAAGTAGCCAATAAGCTCAAGGAAAAACGAAATAAATCAGATGGACTACATCACTGTCAGAATTCTTTCACAATGTCAAAGGAGAACTTTTCACCCTGGGAAAACACAGCACAACACAAGGCTTTATTCACCACGAAATATATTTTAAGATAAGGGTCGATGAAAAATACTGTATTTACTTTTGAGCCTTTAGAACGCGCCCTTAAAACTCTACTCTGCATGTTCTTAACCTGCGTAGAAAGGAGAGGGCATGCTACTTGCTAATGGACCCAGACCTTAATCAAGTGCACATCTGTTTGGCTCTACTTTCTTCAGTATTTAGCGTAATGATACTTCACTCTGTTCTTTCAGGAGGCGTGTGCTCTCCAGAGATAGCAGCACATGACAGTGGGTCCCGCGGAGAGGTGGTGTAGCTAAGGGTATCTGGACTAAAGGTAAATCAGTCTGCACTATTCCCAGGCTCAGCAGTGGCCCGCCAATCAAGAGTGTTCTTCCTACTGGGATGCCCAGAAGGAAGCTCTGTGGTCCAGGGAGAACCTTCCAGAGGCTGCACAGATTCTGTCTGCTTCCCCGTGGCTCTAACTGTGACACAGAGATCCCCCGCCCTTCCTACCCCGCAGTTACCCTCAGCCTCTCTAGCATGACGGCTGAAAGTTGGCAGCACGGGGTTTTGGACCCTGCTGCTAAGCTCAGTACTGACAACTCACTGGAGAAGTTTGCTGCCAGCCGGGCAGCCCTTGGGGAAGAGCTGCAGCGCAAACTCCTACCCAGAGCCTCCCTCCACCGGCCACTTCCTGCGCCTCCAGACAGGGCCCTCGACACATCCTTATTCACCTTGGCTGTCCGGACCTCGATTCGCAAGGGGGTCCCTCGGGGGTTAGGGCTTTTTCCTCCACTAGAAAGGTGCTGTGGACACTGTCGCTTCCTACACTGCGATCTCTTCTGCGTGATGGAGCGCGGAGAGAGTGGGGTGCCTGGCAAGTGTCAGAACCACGCAGCCCGGTTCGCCTGAGCTCCCATCTCCTTCCCTGCGCCCCACGCCCATCTGATAGAGAAACAAGCACATTGTAGAGCGCGGGGACTGCAACACCCCCAACACCTCTCAGTGAGCTCAGCCCTGCAAATGGAGAGAGAGAGAGAGAGAGAGAGAGAGAGAGAGAGAGAGAGAGAGAGAGAGACAGAGAGAGAATGGTTACCAGAGTTTTGTTCCCGTTCTTGCCGAGAGGGCCCCGGAAAACTCCCTTGATGTTGCGAAAGTGTCCGTTGCTGAGGCGCGTGGAGCTGATCACGATGTAGTAACACTCCATGGGCCCCGCTGCCTCCGCCGCAGCCGCAGCCTGGGCCCGGGCGGTGGGCGGCGGGCGCGGCCGGGACCCGGAG